TCCACAACCACCCCCCCACACCACAGTTGCTTAAATAGGAAGTTATTTTGCACCTATTGTTGGGTGAAATTCCGGATTATTTCTCACATACAGCAAACCATTTGGAAATACAATACAGGAAGTCTTATTGAACTAATTTTTGACTTGCCAAAATTATTCAATATGATTAAGCACTCCACCAAAACCCAGCCAGAAAGAACAGCTCAATGCTTTCTAATATCATTAAATGTCACCTATAAATAAAATCTGAAATTGTTAATGTCATTTCTGTGCAAACTTTTGACATGGTATTTAGAACTGCTTTCTCTGGTGGGCTTTGCAAGTTTGCAAATACAGAATTTTCAAATAAAGTGTTCATATTTAAGAGGCCAGGTTGTGTATTGTCTAATAAAAGCAGAACGTTAGCACATGTTTTCTAAACTTATCCAGTAACTTCACTACATTGATTTAAAATTGGATCTGCATACAAAACCTAACGGTAATGTACAACATCTAAATAAGTGACAAAGTGATTAAGCAATCCCCATAGGTGTATTGTTCTGAGAGTAAATAAATAGTTTAAAATAAGCATATTGATTTAAAAAATAGAAAATAATATCCACAAAGTGAAGGCATAGCTAAGTTTCTACATTCCAATTCATAACTTTATCATAGTCCTGAATTCGCTGTTTTATATGAGAAAGCTTATTCTTTAGGTATTCACAACGCTCCTTTTTCTCCAGAAATGCAGGATCCTGCCAAAAATACAAAAACCTTTACATTAATATATTACACTTTCAGACTCTTCCAAGAGTAGTCTATGATCAGTTATGTTCTTGATTAAGGACAGTAGATAAATATTCTCCAAAATCACGTTCTTTTTCCCTGGCCACAATTTCTTATTTCCTGCTTCCCCTTCCTTCATGGAAAGCTGGAAAAAGAGGTTCTGCTTTTATGTCCTGTAGTTACTTAGTAAACAGAGTGGTTTTTCAACAGAAATCTGCAAATACGAATTACATTGTACTACATGATTTACATTTTATCCGTGTGCTGTGGTATGTCTAATAAATCCCTCCCTGCAAAAAAGCAATGAAGTTTAACATGGACACAAAATTTGAATCCCATGGTGGGGGGGAGGTATTTGTAATGTATTATGTTTTTAATGGAACACATGTACATATTTACTGCCCGCATTTAAAAATGACAAAGTGAAACCTCTTGGGTTACACGGAAAATTACTTTTTGAGAGTCTACGTTCCATGCAAAGAAAATACAAAACTTCTTTTCAGGGGTAAGACTATGTTTTCTGTTGTTAATTTATCTGTTGGCTGTGTCAGTCAGTGAATATAAATGAACTGGACCCCAGAAAGAACCAGTCGTCTGAATGCAGAATGCTAAGAGATGAGACATACTCTCAGAAGATTAAAATGCTTAACTGTTGGGGTTTCCCCCCCTATCTGGCTAATGGAATTATTATTCTCAAAAGAGGCTATTGACATGAGTGGAGTGGGTTGTGCCCTAACTTTGCCAAAGTTTTAAAAGACAAAATATACAAAGCCCTGTAGCAGCTACGGATACCCTGAGCTAGGAGCATTGCACCTAGTGTCAGACATGTTGGCTATTTACACTCTTTTTGCTATTCATTAGATTCACTAGCAATGTAAAGCTGAAAACACTCACATTTTTCTTCTTCTTATATTCTTGCAGAACTTTTGATATCCTTTCCTGTTCCTAATGAGAGAGACCACACATTTTAAAACATTTTGAGCGTGCTCCACATCTGCTGTAAATTCTACAAAATACTTGTCAGAAGTAAAATTCTCATTTGATCAATCCATTCTAGCTGTAACATTTCAGTTGTAAATCTCGTACTTGAGAAATAGTGAAAGTACCTGAATTGTGACTTACTCAAACTTCAAAGCTACTTGCATGAAAAAAGAAAACCCAATCCAGAAAAACAGGTATACAACTTAATTGCAACTTGGTATCCCTGACTGATGACCAAACAAGAAATAACATATTGGGGAAACCTTCTCTCCCACCAAGTCACCACCAGCATTACAAGACATTGTGCTCTAACTAAAGACAGTCAGAAATCACCTAATACCACACCTGTCTTCCATGAACCCATTTCACAGGTACTTACATATATGCTTTCAGGATGGTGAGGAAGCTGTCTCATCAATGCATCCAGCTCATCAAACTTTTTTAATACAGCATGAACTTCCACAGACAGTTCCTTATACTCAGCAAACTGATCATTGAATACTGCTTTGTACCGGTCTCGCATTTCATTTGTTTGAATTGCTGGGTATTTCCTTTAAAAAAAAAAAAGTTTTCAAGGACTAGTTTTAGAGATCGGACTTCAACAAACACATGGACCCTTCACCTTGATAGTGTATTTCTCTATAGTTTGCTAATCTCATAACCTGCTGAAATTTGCATGTATGTAAAGCATTGAAATCACAGAATGACAGAACGGTTGAGGTTGGAAGGGACATCTGGAGGTCACCTAGTCCAACCCCCCTGCTCAAGCAGGGCCACCTATAGCTGGCTGCCCAGGACTGTGTCCAGACAGCTTTTGAATATCTCCAAGGATGGAGACTCCATAATCTCTCTGGGCAACCTGTGCTAACCCTCACAGTGGAAAAGATTTTCCTAATATTCATCTGGAACCTCCTGTGTTTCAGTTTGTGCCCCAGGCCATGGCAAATAGTATAAAAATTAATTTATGATCTTATACTTCACCATGGAAAGGACTAGCCTTTAAAAGGGAACATGTTCTAGATTTAGCACTTAGAAAATACAAGAGCAGTCAAATCTCAGGGGCTAAAAAGACAAGTAATTTCCCACGTATTTTATTTTTTTCTAAATTGTCTGAGTGGTGGTCTTCTGTTCCTTTGGCAGTTGCAAGTAATCTAGTTGCTAGATTAAAACATTCTGCTTTAACATTTGAGGTTTGGGTGGTTTTTTTTTTTAAATTTAAGATTCTTTATTTATATTACTGTTTCTATGCCATTGATACCAGCCCCCGTTCTCTCTATTTTTAACATTAACTTCATAAAGAATTATGAGTTCCCATAGCACATGCATGGCAGAGAAACCATGAGTGTATATATGAGAAATGCTGAGCACAAAACATCATTCAAGTATTCTCCATGAAGTTTGTTCATCAAAGTCAAATCACTTACGCTAAATAGTCTGGCATCACTATAGGTTTAGGAATGTGGCCTGCAGGTATATGACCATTAAGTAGTTCTGGTTTTCTTTCCACTGATTTAAGCTGCCTGTAAGTGACCTCTTCTCTTGGTCTGTCATCACTTTCATACTGTTTTAAAAGAAAAAAAAAAAGTAGTTCTTAATGAAGTGAGTTTTACTTCAAATGCAATATACATAAACCACAAAATACCCAACTCATTTGAAGACCGATACACAAGTATTGAGCAGCAGTAGAAGCAAATCATACATATTTTACAGCCCTTATTATAAATTGGAAAATTAATAAAAAGTTACAGTAATGTTTCTCACACAGTATCCATCTTCAGTTTGTCCTAACAGTGGTACAATGACAGATAAATACTTCCAGGGGCTTAGAAAGATTTGTCTTGTATGTCTTAAAAAAATAATTTAAGGAAGTTTTCCTTGGATATCCATCTAATTTGTGAAAGAACAGGAATCACTCAGTTCTCTGGAGTTCCCTTTTCCCCTGGTGTTCTACTGCACAATTTATCCCATGATCCAGAAATAAGAGCACATGGAGTCTTGTTGGAACACATAAAAAAGGATCCCGATCCTGTACTGAAGCAACAGAGAAAAACAGTGGCAGGAAATTCACAGTATGTTAACAGGAGACATTTAAGACTGAAATAAATACACCATAAATTCTCTGGGAATCATCAATGTCTGCTGTTAAGATCCTATACAATCTTTGTAGCATATGCAACCGCATCTTTGAGCGGCAAAAGCACTAAAATTGCTGATACTTCAAAACTGGCAAGGAGGTCTTTGGAGCAGTCTGAGACACACCGGAATAAGCTCAACTCACAGGGCACCTACCACTGCACTTCTGCTGGCTCTCCTGCAGATGAAGCAGACAGCCAGGAGGAAAGAGTCTCCGAAACCTACAGCACATCAGATGTCCTACTGCTCTAGCCATGTCTGCCAAACTCTGTGGTAACTGCTACAGAACTTGTCACTTCATAAAAGAGGGTAAGAGCACATACGGAGGCAGTCATCGCATTTGCTATTTACAGTAAATTTTGTAACCTAACCTAACCTAACTAGTAGTAACTTTTTTACAAGCTTCTTCTGCGTCTTGTAGGTAGGAGAATGCTGTCCGGACTACATTAAAGAATTAAACCTAATCTCTTCCAAGCCAAATAAGTAAATAAATAGACAGGTCAATCAAAACAGTCACAAGAAAAAGGACAACCATTTGGAAATACCAGTAAACAGAAAAATAAATTCCTATTTCCTACCTTCTTTTCTGGAAAAGAGGACTGTGTTTTCATCTATCAAAAAATGAAAATAATTGTAAGTTTTATTTTCAGTAAAAACAGTATGCAAAAGCACAGACTCTTAAAATCCAAACTTTTTCAAAATCTTGCTGTACAGATAATTACATTTATATTTAGATATGAAGAAATTTAGCATGAGGAATGTTTTCAGATCAATTGATTTAAAGACTGTTTAAGAACAGTGGAACGAAAACAAACACCCAAATTTATGACAGGATCTCCCAGAGCATAGCTGTAAGGAACAGCTTGCAGGAAATACTCTGTCCACTTCCCAGTCTCCTTTATTATTTCACATTCCAGCCCATATTAACTCACTGACGCTCTGCAGCTGAATTCATTGCCTGGAAAACACAACAGTGCACTAACCGGTAGCTCAACCAGCAGCCTTTTTGCACAGCACTCTCCAGAGCCTAGCCTATATTACAAAAGTATTCCCTTTAGAAATATTAAGTAACTGGAATAAATGAACATGGATAGTAACAGGGAAGAGTGATTGAACACTTTCCGTATAATTCCAGCAATCACCTCATTCTTGCAGGACATGTTAAGAGTTAGTTAAAAACCTTTTATTAAAGGAGCTGCAATGTACTTTTCAAAAGGGGAGCCTCAAGTTTCATGGAAGATGGTGGAATGGAAACCAATGCTAAATGAAAATGCTGCAAATCAGACTGCAGTCACAGAGCAGAAGAAATATAAACTCACTCTCTCCTACTAAATCACTTAAATGGTGGCCCCTCCTTAAGTTAGGCTTATGTAGGCTTCACATGTTACATTTTTAATTTTTTTTTTTTTAATTCACATAGTAATTTTTAAAGGGTTTTTTTGGTGGTGCTTTCATGTGAAAGAGGTGTTCTACAAACGATTTTGATTTCTCTAGTTGATAGTGTTGTCTACTATGACAGTTTATCATTAATCAGGCAAGCATTGAATGCTTCTAGTAAGGACAAGGTCAGCAGCAATCTGAAATACTTGATGTGAAAAAGATGAAGTTGATTAAAATGTCACCAACTCTGTTATTTTCCGATACCTAATGTAAGGAAAACTGAAAAGACATAAAGAAGTAGCTTAGCGTTTTGCTTGCAAAGGAAAAATAAGTATTTCACATTTGTATGGTCATTTGCACTAGCACTTAATGTGCTGAAAGCAGAGTCTTCAAATACATGCTAGGTGGCTTTAAGCCTAACCCTACTGAACAGCTGAACAAGCACACTATTCATTTCTTCCTTTGTTTGGAAAATACACACTAGGAAGTAGTTCATCAGCTGACGCAGGAAGAGCTGAGTATTACAAAGAGAACTGAGCCAGCTCCTTACCAAAGTGAATTAAAATAAAAAAAAAGTCCAAGAATTTGGATCAGACATCTTAAAAGCGCCTTTCATTTGGTGATCTCAAATACTGTTAAGACTTGTGAACGTTCACCCTCAAAGGCTACGGAGCTGCTGCAGAGAAGACACCTGACACGACTCCGTCTACGGCATGGGAAGATCTTACAGCTGCTCCCCATCACTCCATAGTCAGTAGGTGCAAAATGGTAACTAATGACTTACCTCTCGCTCCATTAATTCCCGGTGCCTCCTAGCTCCTTCATGCCTCCATAACTTCAGAGCAACCACTGCGCTAATTAGATACATGACCACCGTGACAAACAGGAAGATGATTGCCGCCGTCTGACCTCCCTCTACACGGCAGAAAGATGCATTTATCGGCGTCTTAAACAACTGGTAATAGCAGAGCCCACCTCGGTTGGTATCATTGACGTACACTATGGCAGCCGACATGTACAGAAAGAAGAGGGCCACGTTAATTCCAAACTCGGTCAGAGGCCACCAGTTGGAGTCGAGGAGGATAGTCCGGTAGTACATCGACATGCCTAGCACCAGCAGCACTATCGTGACTATCCACGCCA